GGTGTAGGATCATTTGTCTCTTTATAAGAAGGAAACAGATTAGAAAGGTGGTACCTGAGACTGGAGAGATAGTATAGAGATTAGGGTACTTACTTTGTATCCTTTCAACCCTGGTTCAAATCCTCAGCACCTCATATGGTCCTCTGAGTACTACCAGCTGTGGCCCACAATCAAGAAGGGAAGGGAAGGAAAGGGAAGGGAAGGGAAGGGAAGGGAAGGAAGGGAAGGGAAGGGAAGGGAAGGGAAGGGAAGGGAAGGGAAGGGGAGGGGAGGGGAGGGGAGGGGAGGGAGGGGAGGGGAAGGGAGGGAAGGGAAGGGAAGGGAAGGGAAGGAAAGGGGAAGGGGAAGGGAAGGGAAGGGAAGGAAGGGAAGGGAAGGGAAGGGAAGGGAAGGGAAGGGAGGGGAGGGGAGGGGGAGGGAAGGGGAGGGAAGGGAAGGAAAGGGAAGGGAGGGAAGGGGAGGGAAGGGAAGGGAAGGAAGGGAAGGGAAGGGAAGGGAAGGGAAGGGAAGGGAAGGGAAGGGAAGGGGAGGGGAGGGGAGGGGAGGGGAGGGGAGGGAAGGAAGGGAAGGGAAGGGAAGGGAAGGGAAGGGAAGGGAAGGGAGGGAAGGGAAGGGAAGGGAAGGGAAGGGAAGGAATGGAGAACTGAGGACAGGGCTCTGGAGTGCATCCTTTGCTTCCAGGTTTTATACCCAACACCACATGGTCCCCCAGAACACTGCCAAGAGTGACCCCCAAGCACTGAGCTAGAAGTGACCCCTGGGCACCGCTGGGTGTAGCCCAAAAGAAACAAAGCTGGGAGCTGTGGCTTTTGGCTTTATCTAACTTTCCCAATTAGGCCCTGCTAGAAAGTGCTAGAACCAAAGCAAGTCAGTGTCCGGCTTCCTGCCCGCCCCCAGGACACGGGGAGAAACCTCTGCCAGTTGATGGCTCTGGTGCCAGCGGTCATTCTTGCTGGTATAGAGCATGTGATACTGCAAGGGGTGATTTTTGGTCCTAATGTATATTTGGGGCAAGAGGAGCTCGCAGAAAGAATCAGAGAACACACGGGGAATGGTGAAGGATAGGCTCTCTCCAGATGCTCAGAACAGGACTCCCCAGAATGTGTCACTTTGACATATAAATTATTCAGAACTGAGGTTTAGCAAGGGCTGGAGCAATTTCACAGCGCTAGGGCGTTTGCCTTGCACGCAGCCGGCCAAGGCCGAGCCAGGTTCAATTCCTCTGCCCCTCTCAGAGAGCCCGGCAAGCTACCGAGAGTATCTAGCCTGCACGGTAAAGCCTGGCAAGCTACCCGTGACGTATTCAATGTGCCAAACACAGTAACAAGTCTCACGATGGAGACATTACTGGGCCCACTCGAGCAAAATTAATAACAACGGAAGGACAGGACAGGACAGAGGTTTAGCAAAGTTGTAGGCTAATGGAAATTTTTTTGGGTAGGGCGTTTGCCTTGCACATGGCCAACCCGGGTTTGATTCCTCCGTCCCTCTCGGAGAGCCTGGCATGCTACCAAGAGTATCCTGTCTGCACGGCAGAGCCTGGCAAGCTCCCCACAGTGTACTCGATATGCCAAAAAACAGTAACAGCAAGTCTCACAATGGAGACATTATCAGTGCCCGCTCGAGCAAATCAATGCACAATGGAGGACAGTGCTACTACTTCCTTAAGTATCTAGAAAAATAAAAATTGAGGGTCTTTCCTAGATCCTCAGTTTGGTATCACAAATAACCTTTCTGTAAGGGAAAACGATCTATATGCAGGACAAACATCTAATTACAGAATTTCTGGTCTTGGGGCCAGAGAGACAGGACAGTGGGTAGGGGTGTTTGCCTTGCACATGGCTGACCTGGGTTCGATCCCAGGCATCCCATATAGTTCCCTGAGCACCACCTGGAGTAATTCCTGAGTGCAAAGCCAGGAGTGACCCCTGAGTATCATTGGGTGTGACCCCAAAAGTCAAACAGACAAAAAAAAAAACCCAGAGCTTCTGATCTTACTAATGTTGGTCACTCACTCTTTATCATGCAAGTCCCCCTTTTCCTGCTGGACATCCCAACCTCCCAGCCTGCCTTGAGCTCTCCATATCTACATTTTGCCCCATTCACTTTATATTCGGTAACCATTAGTTCGTTCACACTGTGAAATTAAATCATGTTTGGCTCCGACTCGTCTGTCTGATGTTGATTTGACAACACGGCCAGCCTCAGAAGGACTCAGGGTGGCAGGGGAAATTTCCTTCCCATCCCTACAATGGCAATCATTATAAGAATTCCAATCAGATGGTGTCATTGCTCTATTCGTAACCCTTTAGAGCCTTCCTGGCTCCCAGGAGACTCAATCCCAATTCCTTGAGGTAGCTGTCATAGACTGGGTTCAGCTTCACGCCCTCACCCCACCCCACCCACTTTGATCTTCCTGTAGGATGTTCCCTCTGACCCAGAACGCCCTCACCCCTGCCCCTTCAGTTTTCTGAGCCTGCATGCTAGATGGTACTTACCTGTCTGCAGGAGGATGGTGGGCTGGGAAGTGGTCACCTGTGGGTCCTCTGCTCTGGTGCCCAGCATGGAGACTGGCATGGAATGGATGGTCCAGCAAAGTCAGGACATGGTTACAGCACCAGTATCTTGTCTAAAGAAGCAGCAGGGCCCTGTTTAGTCAGGTGCTTCAGACCTGGTGCCAGCTTGGTCTGGGTACTCCCCTCCCTCCAGGGACCAGAGCAAGACTCCAGAGCTAAGAGAGGACAGCCTGACCCACCGTCTGCTTAGGCTGCTGTAGAGACCTGTGCCTGCCTCAGTCTCCCTATAATGCACAGAAGAGGCTCATGGGCGTGGCCCCAGCTGATGGGACCACCAAGAGCAAGGGATCCTTCAAAGCCCAGAACCTGGGGCTGGAGCAATAGTACAGCGGGTAGGGCGTTTGCCTTGCATGCCACCGACTGGGGTTCAATCCCTGGCATCCCATATGGTCCCCAAGCAGCGCCAGAAGTAATTCCTGAGTGCACAGCCAGGAGGAACCCCTGAGCATCGCCGGGTGTGGCCCCAAAAGCAAAGTAAATAAATAAATCTATTCAGAAAAAAACCCACGAAGTCCAGAACCCCCTCGTTAGGGGTCCCTTAGCTAGGGAGGTGGGGGTGGGTAAATCTTTAACCAGCTGGCCCTGGGCAGGCTGGCGTCTTTCCGGATGGCTGACGCCCGCCTCCCCGGGGAGAAGGGGGATGATGAGGGCTCAGGAGCCAGTCCTAGGCAGCGAAGGGAGGAGCCTGGGGAGGAAGGAAGGAGGTCGGGGGATAACTGCCTCGGATCCGGTGCAAAAGCAGGACATGGAGGAACGCGGGTCCCCCGACGGGTAAGCAGAGATTGGGGAGGTTCCAAGAGACCCCCTCCCCGGGTACAGCCAAGGGAAGTTCCAAGAGTCCCCCTGGGTACAGCCAAGCGTGATTCATGTGCCTGCCGCAGGGACCCTGAGCGCAACCCGGAGCATGGGCCGGAGGGACTGGAAACGCCCATCCAGGTGGTGCTCAGGTGGGTAAAGAGGTGGGCTGCAAAGAGTCCGAGCGAGGAAGGGACACATGGGCCAGGCCATGAGCTGCCATCCCCCACCCCACACCGCTCTCGAACCTCAGGGTGCGACCCATGAACGCGGCCGAGCTCCGACGAGGGGAGCCGAGCGCGCTGCACTGTGCCGGGAGCCGCACTCTACAGGTGAGGACCCCTGGGACCCGTCTTCAGAAGATGCAGGCCCAGCCTAGGGGTGCCGGGGAGAAGACCCCCCGCCCCTTTCTCCACCGCCCTGTCCCCAAGGTGAGCCCTCCGGGAGGTGCCCCGGACTTGGCATTCCGCTTCGGAGCCGTGCTGGATGGGGCGCGCACGCAGGAGGAAGTGTTCCACGCATGCGGGGTGCAGCGCCTAGGCGAACTCGCCCTGCAAGGGTAAGCGAGGCCTCCACCCCACTCCCTGACCCCGCCTCCCCGACGCCCCATCCCAGGCCTCCTGGGTCCAGCTGTGGTCCTGCTGCCCGCAGCTTCTCCTGCACCGTCTTCACCTTTGGACAGACGGGTTCCGGGAAGACATATACCCTAACAGGACCTCCTCCCCAGGTAGGCCAGGAGCATGTGGAGACCCTTGGTTTGAGGGATGGTGAACTGGAGGTGGTGGTGGGGGGGGTTGGTGGTCCATGCAGGCCATCTTTCAGAGGAACACATAGCTAAACTCCGTGCTTTGTATATTTTATTGCATTGGGGGGGCGGGGGTTCAGCGCTGACTGCTGGCCCGGCACTCAGGGACCACACTCCTGACTGGCTCTGTTGGCCATATGGGGTCCCGGGGATTGAACCTGGGTGGGTCTAGTGCAAGGCAAGCGTCCTACGGGTTGCACGTTTGCTCCATCCCTGAGCTCTGTGGTTTTGAAGAAGACTCGGGAACCAGGGTTCAAGGAGATGAAGGGCTTTGTCCAAAGTGGAGTTCGGAGGTTGTTTCCCTTGACTTGTTTCCTCACCTGTAAAACAAAAGTGAGAACAGTGACCCTCCAGAGACTCCTAATTGAATCCCCAAATGGATTAGTGCCCTACACAGATAGATGTCTCTGGAACCCAACCATTTACAATCTAGAATTCCAGAGGCAGCCGCACAAGCTCTCATGATATTCAAAATGAGCAACGGAAGATAAATTATGTAGTGTCTGCCCCTGGCAGGTAGGCTTGAATGGTGGTGGGGAAATTCGAGCAGAACATAATGCCCCAAATAGAGAGAGAGTATTGGGGGAAATTTGTCTGCCATAGAGGCAGGGCAAGGACTGGGATGGGGTGGGGGGTGGGGGGAAGAAACTGGGGACATTGGTGGTGGAAAATGTGCGCCGGTTGGGGGATGGATGTTCAATCATTGTATGACTGAAACTCAAACATGAAACTTTGTAGGTGATTCAATATGAGAGAGAGAGAGAGAGAGAGAGAGAGAGAGAGAGAGAGAGAGAGAGGAGAACAGGGAACGTGAGACCACAGTGTAGATGCTCTACAAAGGGCTGTTATGGTTTGGTGGGAGTAGGGGGTGGGGGTCTAACCTCAGGCTCACTGCCCCTGTCCCCAGGGGGAGGGTATGCCCGTGCCCCCCAGCTTGGCAGGCATCATGCAGAGGACCTTCTCCTGGCTACTGGACCGTGTGCAGTACCTGGGAGCCCCGGTCACTCTGCGGGCCTCGTACCTGGAGATCTACAACGAGCAGGTGGGTTTCTGCGCCGCGTGCAGGCTGGTCCAAGGGGAGCAGGAGGCATCACGGGAGGGGGGAGGGTCGGAAGGGCAGGGGGGAGGTGGGGGGGGTCTGTAAGGTCTGACAGTGTGTATTGGAACTCAGCGGGGCTCCTTCCTCCGCCCTCCATCCTCATCATGCCCAGGTTCGAGATCTGCTGAGCCCGGGGTCCCCCCGGGTGCTCCCTGTTCGCTGGAACAAGAGCCGTGGCTTCTACGTGGAGCAGCTGCAGGTGGTGGAGTTCGGGGGTCTGGGCGCCCTCATGGAACTCCTATACTTGGGTGCGTGCTCTGGGCAGGACCTCCGGGGGGCAGCTGTCCACTCCTCAGCTCTCCCCCTAGGCTGGGGGCCAGGAGTGGGGCTGTGGGTTTGGAGATGACCCCTGGGGAGAAGCCATCAGCAAAGTACCAATTCCGACGCTGCCCAGGGATGTTCCTTATCACTCACACCCCATCCAGAGTCCCTTTATTCCAGCTCTGCATTCCAAAGTCCCCCCCCCCCCCCCAGCCCACCCCGTTGTCTCTCCTCCTGGGCCGAGACAGCCCAGGCTGAGCGCTAGAGGGTGACTCCCAGGGGTGCTTGGAGGACCATACAGTGTCAGGGATGGAACTCAGGCCTCCCCCACAAGGAGCCGGAACTCAGCCCGTTGTACTCTTTCCAGCCCCAGGCCTCGTTTTGGCCCTCTCCCCAGGGGGAGGAGACCCTTTTTCATTCCTGGATCCCCTCATAGCAAACCACCCGCCTCCTCCTTGCAGCCTCCCAGGCCTGCCCTTCCTAGCGGGTCCAGCTCCCCCGACGGTTCTCCCTGTCTAGGTCTGCGTCGCCGGCGGAGCTCCGCCCACACCCTGAACCAGGCGTCCAGCCGTAGCCATGCCCTTCTCACTCTCTACATCAGCCGCCAAGGCGTGAGTGTGCCAGGGCGAGCCAGCTAGAGGGGGCTGCCCCACAGGGGAAGGGAGGAGCGGGTTAGAGAGGCCTCCCCTGGTCCTGTGACCTTCATGGGGGCTGCTGTCCTTCTGGACGTGCCCCACAGCCAGGCCTGGTCCCCCCCCCCAACCCCAACAGATGCCACCTGTGGACCCCGGAGAACCTCCCGCGGGGGGGAAGCTGTGCTTTGTAGACCTGGCGGGCAGCGAGAAGGTGGCGGCCACCGGGTCCCGCGGGGAGCTCATGCTCGAAGCGAACAGCATCAACCGCAGCCTGCTGGCCCTGGGTGAGGACCGCCATCCTGACCCCTGGGCCCCTCGTCCGGGCCTGGGACTGCAGCTGTCCAGAGTCGGGAGAATAGAGGCATTGGGAAGGGGGAGGCCCAGGAATCCCCCTCAGAACCTCTGTGCATGCCCACCTGCGTCTATAGCATCCCATGCTGAGGGAAGCTGGAGGCACAGAGAGCAGAAAATGAGCCCTGAGCACTGGCTTGGGGGAAGCAGAGGCCCAGCAGGGGTGGAGGGGGAGGGGGAGGATTTCCTTCCTGTCCCCACCGGGGGTTCGCCATTAGCCTCATCTGTGGCCTGGATATGGGACATTCCTCTTCCTCTAGGTCACATCTGGCCACTTCTGCATGCCAGGCCTGTTGGTCGTCACTGTTGGGGAAATCACAGACGGGGTGGGCAGGGATCTCTCTCACACCCCCTTAGCCTTAGTCTGGTGGTGGCAACCACTCCGGTTGGATAACGCCGCCGTGGAGAGAGGGCCTGGAGGGGGACTTAGCCTGCAGGGTGGAGCGCTTGACTATGCAGCTGAGTGACCTTGAAAGTGAGCCCTGGGGTTGGTGTGATAGCACAGCAGGGAGGGCGTTTGCCTGGCACGCGGCCAACCCGGATTCGATTCCCAGCATCCCATTTGATCCCCTGAGCATGGCCAGGAGTAATTCCCGAATTCCTGAGTGCAGAGCCAGGGGTTACTAATTGGCATCAGTAACCGCTGTGCATTGCTGGGTGTGACCCAAAAAGGGAAAAGAAAAAGAGAGAGAGAGAGAGAGAGAGAGAGAGAGAGAGAGAGAGAGAGAAAGTGAGCCATGACCTGGCCAGGCCCTGCCTCCCGCCCGCAGGCCACTGCATCTCTCTGCTACTGGACCCCCAGAAGAGGCAGAGCCACATCCCCTTCCGGGACAGCAAGCTCACCAAGCTGCTGGCGGACTCGCTGGGAGGCCGAGGGGTCACGCTCATGGTAACCTGGTCGGGGGCTGGGGGTGGGGAGGTGCAGGGCCTAGGAGGGGCACTCTGCCCGAAAGGGCGAACTCAGGGTGGGGTGTCTCGTCCAGGTGGCCTGCGTGTCCCCCTCAGCCCACTGTCTCCCCGAGACACTCAGCACCCTGCGCTATGCCAGCCGAGCTCAGCGGCTCACCACCCGGCCACAGGCGCCCAAGGTGGGTGGAGGGACACCCGGGTGGGGTGTCAGCCGGTGGAGGGCAGTGGAGGCCCTGCACCCGCTGGGGCCTGGCTTGGCACCTGGGCCAAGCTGACATGAGCACCGGCATCTTAGGAATGGGGTCACGGTTGGGTAGAATGGGGCCATGGCCACGGGGGGGGGGGGGGTCTGGAGAGGTGATGATGGTCGAGCAGGACCCCAGCTGGTTGAGACTCGTGGCTGAGTTAGTACCTGAGCAGAGTCTTTTTTTTTTTTGCAGGGGGGAGGGGAAGGAGGGGGTCAGAATCTGACTCAAGATCTGTGTAGGACTGAGTCTGGGCCTGGAGGAGAAGTGAAGCCAGCCTCATGTGGGCCCCTTGGCTGTCTATCTGAGACCCCAGGACACTGTGTCGTGCCAGGGAGCCCAGCCAGGGAGATGCAGTCAGGCATCACGACTTGCCTGTGAAGCCCAGAGGGCATATTGGGCTCCACTCCCTCCTCCCCAGACCTGAGAACCCTTGAGCAGTGCACAACTTAGACACCTGTCCAGGGCAACTCTGAGCCTCTTCCCCCTGCCCCTCCCTTGCCCGCAGTCCCCCATGACCAAGCAGCCCCCGCGTTTGGAGGCTGAGATATTGCAGCTCCAGGAAGAGAACCGTTGCCTGCGGTCCCAGCTGGGCCGAATGGACCCTAAGGGTATAAGCTCCCAGGGTTGGGGTGGGGGGTGCATGAAGGGCTTGGGGTGTGAGGTGGATTGGGGCTGGGGTCCCTGAACCTCCCCCCTCCTCATCGCCCCTTCCCTGCAGGCTCGGGGCTGGGCGGGGCCCGGGCAGCCTGGGCACAGCGGAATCTGTACGGGATGTTACAGGAGTTCATGCTAGAGAACGAGACTCTCAGGTAGGCGGCATCCTACCCCTCCCCCCTCCGGCTCCACCCACGGGCACTTCCTGCAGAGGGGCCGCCCAGCATCCCTGTCGAGACCCTTCCCGGGACCGCTCTTCCCAGGAAAGAAAGGAGTCAGCTGCGGAGCAGCCGGGACCTGGCCCAGAACCAGCAGAGAGTCCTGGCCCAGCAGGTCCGGGAGCTGGAGCGGTGAGCGTGGGCCGTGGACGGGGCGGCCTGTGGACGGGGCGGCTTCCTGCATGGCCCAGGGTGTGACCTCTGGGTCCAGGGCGCCTGGGGACACCTCACCTCCTCAGTGTGGTGACCTTGGGGAGTCATGCAGGTATGCCCTTCCCGTGGGTGGGGCCATCTGGTGCCCACCGAGACGTGGCTGCAGACCAGGATGGAGGGGGTTGCCGGCCCCGGGCACACAGCCCAGGTCGTCCCCGCTGTCTGGAAGCAGACCCTCCCTCCTGGTGAGGTCCGGTGGTATCTTGTACTGGACCTGGGAGGAGTGTGACCACTCCTTTCTGGAGCTAAAAATTTGTGGCAAATTTTGTTGCGGGGAGAGTGGGGGAAGGGCTGCACTGGGTGTTGCTCAGGGGTGACTCCTGGCTCTGCACTCTAATTACTCCGGCAGTGCTCATCAGGAATAACTCTGGCAGTGCTCGGAGGACCATATGGGGTGCTGGGGACTGAACCTGTGCCGGTTATGGTGCAGGGCAAACATCCCGCCGCTGTACTATGATTCTGGCCCTGACAATTTGTTTTTTAAAGAGGGGACTTGGGGACCCCAGGGACAGGACAGGGTATGACACTTGCCTGGCACGTAGCAGACCCGGCACCCTATATGGTACCCTGAGCATGGCCAGGAGTGTAGAGGACAGAGCCAGGAATAAGCCCCGGGCAATGCAGGACATGCCCCACCCCCTAATAATAATGCACATTGCACACTGTCCTCCTGTTGTTCATCCATTTGCTCGAGCGGGCACAAGTAACGTCTCCATTGTGAGACTTGTTGTTATTGTTTTTGGCATATCGAATACGCCACGAGGAGCTTGCCAGGCTTTGCTGTGTGGGCGAGATACTCTCGGTAGCTTGCCAGGCTCTTGGAGAGGGTTGGAGGAATCGAACCCGGGTCAGCTGCATGCAAGGCAAATGCCCTACCTGCTGTGCTATCGCTCCAGCCCCCCAATAATAATAATAATAATAATAATAACAACAAAGCTAAATAGGGGACATTTATTTTTGGCCCAGCGGTAGGGCTGGGGGCTGCAGACACTGACTCTCCTCCACCCCCATCCCCATTTTCCCCAGGCGCCTCCTCAGCACCTGCTACCTTCACGCGGCAGGCCCTGGCCCGGCGCCCCTGTGCCCCTGTGTGGCAGGGCATCTTCCCCGCTGCCAAGTGAGTCTCTGCCATCTGGGAGGGGGGAGGGGGTCGTCGCAGCCCTTGACACGCCTTCCCGTAGGCCCTGCCCCCCATCTGCTCCTGCTGTCACCTCTGCCCCCTGTGCCGAGCCCCGCTGAGCCACTGGGCCCTTCCATGGAAGGAGGCGCCCCTGTGCCAGGTAGGGAAGGTCAGGGAGCGGGGCTGGGGCTGGGGGTTCAGCAGCCCCGAGTGCCTGCCCGGAGCTGCAAGGGCTCGTGCCAGGCTGGGTCCTGGGGTGAGCAGCTGGCATGGAGCCCTCTGCCTAGGACTCAGAACAGCCTGTTGCCCAGCCACCCCTCCCCATCTCCCTCCCTCTCCCTCCCTCCCTCCCTCCCTCCCTCCCTCCCTCCCTCCCTCCCTCCCTCCCTCCCTCCTTTCCTCTCTCCCTCTCTTCCTCCCTCTCTCCTTCCCTTCCTTCCTTTCTTCCCCTTCCTTCTCCCTTCCCTTCCTTTCCCTTCCCTTCCCTCCCCTCCCCTCCCCTCCCCTCCCCTTCCCTTCCCTTCCCTTCCCTTCCCTTCCCTTCCCTTCCCTTCCCTTCCCTTCCCTTCCCTTCTTTCTCCTTACCCACCCTCCCTTCCCTCTCTTCCTCCCTCCTTTCCTCCTTCCCTTCCTTCTTTCTTCCTTCCCTCTTTTTCTCCCTCCTTTCTTCCCGCTCTCTTTTCCTCTCCCCCTCCTCTCCCTCCGTCCTTCCCTCCCTCCCTCCTTCGTACCCTCCCTCCCTCCTTCCCTTCCTCTATCCCTCCCTTCTCTCTTCCCCCTCTTCCTCTCCCTCCCTTCCTCCTACCCTCCTCCTCTCCCTCCCTTCCTCCTCCTCTCCCTTTCTTCCTCCCTTTCTTCTTTTCTCCCTCCTCCTCTCCCTCCCTCCCTCCTTCCTCCCTCCCTCTCTCCTTCTCTCCTCCTCTCCCTCCTCCTCTCGCTCCTCCTCTTCCTCCCCCCTCCCCCCTCCTCTTACACAGACTCACCTGTGCATTTGCTCCTCGATGTACTCCTCCATCAGTACCTGTGCCCTGAGCGGCCTGCTCTGTGCCGGTCTGTGGTGGACTGGGGGTGCAGGCATAGCCCAGACTTGCTTCCAGCCCTCGAGGTCTCCAGCGAGGACGTTGCCAGAGCCATCCACCTCCTGTCTACAGAAGGCCCAGCCGAGACCTGCCCCTTCATGGCCCCCTGGTTGTGATGCCCTGGAGGGTGGACAAGGCGGGGACGGTGGCGGCCAACACCAGGGACACGGGACTCCGAGAAGCCCGGCTGCACCCTCAGCTCTGGTCTCTCCTGCAGGCGTCTGACCCCAAGGCCCGGAGCTGCGTGTCTCTGTCTGCTCGGCCACCACCCTGGGCGCCCCCAGGCAGCCCTGGCTCTGCCTCACGCCTGCAAGGGAGGTGGGCTCTGTCCGAAGCATGGGGAGGGGCGGGAAGACCGGGAAGGTGGGGGCTCCCCTCCTATCAATGCATCCCCTCGCACCCAGGGACCACAGTGACTGGACCCAGACCCGCGTCCTGGCAGAGATGCTGAATGAGGAGGAGGAGGGCGTGGTTCCTTCTGCGCCCCCACTGCCCACGGGGGCCCCCAACCCACCGCCAGTGCCCAGAGGTGAGAGCAGAGAGGGAGGCGCCCCTGGAACTCTCTGGAATCTTGGGCCAGAGCCCACCGCCCTCCCAGCCTGCCCAGCTCTGTCCTGGGGCGCGTGCCTGGAAGGGGTGCATTCTCTCCCTGGGCTGCCTGCTTACTAGGTGCTGGGTCCCGAGCAGGCTGGGGCAGTGATGCTGGCCCTGGCCACCCTCCCACCCCAGAGCGTGCTTGGAGGTTGGTGGGGGGGCCCTGCGGGACAGTAAGTCTGGACCCTGCCTGGCCCTCAGGTGGGGCTGCGGTTCCAAACCTCGCCCGGAAGCTGGAGGCCCTCAGAGACCAGATTGGCAGCTCCCTGCGACGGGGCCGGAGCCAGCCCCCCCGCAGCCAGGGCCCCAGAAGCCCTCGCTGAGCGCCCGACCTGAGGGGGAACCTTGGGCTGGGTGTGCCCGTGGGTCAACCTCTCCTCTGCTCCAGGGGATACCTGCTGCCTCCCTGCCCTCCTCCTGGGCTGGATCTGTGTGTGTGTGTGTGTGTGTGTTTGTGTGTGTCTGCGTGTGTGTCTGTCTGTCTCTGTGTGTCTGGGTGTCTGGGTGTATCTGTATCTATGTCTCTATGTGTGTGTGTGTGTGTGTGTCTGTGTCTGTGTGCCTGTCTGTGTGTTTGTGTCTGTCTCTGTGTGTCTGTGTGTGTATGCATCTGTGTCTCTATGTGTGTTTGTGTGTCTGTGTGTGTCTGTATCTATGTCTTTATGTCTGTGTGTCTGTGTGTGTCTATCTCTGTGTGTGTCTCTGTGTATCTGTGGGTGTCTGTATATCTGTGTGTCTTTGTGTATCTATGTCTATATGTTTATGTGTGTGTCTCTGTGTCTCTGTGTGTGTGTGTTTGTGTGTGTCTCTGTGTGTATGTGTGTATGTGTGTGTTTGTATGTGTCTATGTGTGTGTCTGTGTCCCTGAGTGTGTCTGTGTGTCTCTCTGTGTATGTCTCTGTGTGTGTATCTGTGATGTCTGTATGTGTCTCTATGTGTGTGTCTGTGTGTGTCTGTGTGTGTCCATGTGTGTGTGTTTGTGTGTGTGTGTGTGTCTGTGTGTCAGGGGTGGGAGATATGCAGAGGGAGAGCATAACACCAAAGAAAGAAAGATGGAACTGCCTTCAGGAGAAATTGGGCAGTGGGTGGTGAAATGAATAAATAAATCCCAGTTGAACCCAGGATGTGGGCACTCATTCTCTCCCCAGAGCACCCAGGGATGAGGCAGAACACTTGGATGTGGGTGCCCCTTTCTGATTAGGAAGGTTTTGGGTCCCCAACTTTTCACATGATGGGCTAGGTTTTAGTTGAGTAACTAATAATGTGTGAGTGAGTGGGTGAGGGGCTGAGTGGGGTTCAGCAGGTCCATGAAGGAGCCAGAGTCAGCAGGTGGTGGGTGGAGGGGTCCCTCCCTCTGTGTCCGTTGTGTGTCTGGAACAGACATTTTCTCTTATGAAGAAGGATGTCTTGGTGTTGTAGTGACAGTTTCTTATGCAAGCAGAAACATTTTCACCTGATGTCATATCATTATTAAATTTTGCATTGTTTCCCATACCTCTGGCATAAAATTCCTGAAGGCATGACGAAGTCAAATCAAGGGTGGTTTTCCTATAACTTTATTGATTTATTTTCTAGTTTTGGGCTTAACATCCCAGCATTTCATGTGAGTTAATTTTATACCATTATAAAATGATCATCCACTTGAATTCTCTATGTTCCTGCATAGTCTATGGAAGAGACTTTTATTTCCCCATTTTTTGCTCTTGGATACTTTGTTATTAACTCTCTCTATATGTGAAGGTGTATTTCTGAGCTCTCAATTCCATCCCATTGGTTGAGGTGCCTGCTTTGATTCCGGTATCAGACTATTTGGGGAACTATAGCTTTGTAATATAGTTTAAAGCAGGCACCACAAGGCAGTTCTCTCTGCTACCTCACACCCCCCAGGGTCGATGTGTCTAGCCAGGGTCTGAATTTTTGATACACTAGTCTTTCATCTCCTTAAACTGTAAGTTTAAGTTTAAGGTTTTCCCAGTCAGTGGGTTCTTTTTATACCATTGTAAATGGTATTGTTTCCTTTCTCTTCTAACTGATTGTTTGTGTATAAAAATGAAGTGAATTTTTATATATTGGTTTGGTAGCCTGTAATTTTACTGTATTGGCTTATCATTTCTAAATAATTTTTACGGAACCGTATCATGTTGTCTGCCATTAGTGATCACTTCCCCTATTTTTCCACTTCAGATTCTTTCCCTTGTCCAATGGCCATGGCTAGGACTTCGAATACTGTGTTGAATAATAGCAGTACAAGTAGACATCTTTTATATATGATTTTTATATATGCTTTATTTTCAAGAAAAAATATTGCAGTTTTTAGCTGTTAAATATGATCGTGGTAGGTTTATCAGGCTTTTATTATGTTGATAATTTTTCCCTTTTATCCATGATTTTATTATTTTCTTTATAAAAAATGTTGAATCTTGGGCAGGAGAGATAGTCCAGGGTTAAGGCACATGCCCTGCATGTGGCTGACCCAGGTTAATCCCTGGCACCACAAGGTGCCCTGAGCATTTCTGGGATCAGCCCTGGAGGTCTCCGAGCATCACTGGGTAGTTCTGGGGGTTCTTGGCACTATTGGGGTGACCAGGGTCATTCCTGGCATGCCAGAGCCTGCACAGCCCTAATCCTCCCGTCCTTGCATGAACTCTTGATCTGGCTGTTCAGCAATCACTGGGAGGGGCTCTGGGTCTCCTGAGCATTGTTTGGGAGAGTCCTATTCCCTAAATAAATGCTGGGTTATGTCCACAGCTTTCTTTGCCTCTATCAATAGGATCCTGTTTTTCCCTTTTGTTCTTTTTTTTTCTTTTTGGATCACACCCGGCGAGCACAGGGGTTACTCTGCACTCAGGAGTTACTCCTGGCAGTGCTCAGGGGACCATATGGGATGCTGGGAATCGAACCCAGGTCGGCTGCATGCAAGGCAAATGCCCTATCCGCTGTGCTATCTCTCCAGCCCCCCTTTTGTTCTTTTTTTAAAAAGTATTATTATTGAATCACCGTGAGATAGTTACAAAGCTTTCATGTTTGAGTTTCAGTCATACAATGATTAAATACCTTCACCAGTGCACATTTTCCACCACTAATGTCCCCAATATCCCCCTTCCCCCCGCCCCCACCCCCCATCCCAGCCCTCCCCCTGCCTCTATGACAACAATTTTCCTTATACTCTCTCCTTATTTGGGAGCATTATGGTTTGCTTGAATTTTCCCTCCACCATTCAAGCCTGCTTGCCAGGGGCAGATGCTGGATAATTTATTTTCTATTGATTATTATGAGTATCATGAGAGCTCACACGGCCACAAAAGCAGCCATGAGCTTCTGGAATTCCCAAATTGTAAATGGTTGGGGTCCAGAGACATATCTGCAGGGGGCTAGTCCATTTTGAGATTCACTTGGGAGTCTCTGCATCAAGGCCATCAATGTGCTGAGATGGCTCTCAGAGGCTGATTGTGGGCATAATAGCCAGGACCCCAAGCGGGCAGGGAGACTGGGGGGATGGCCCATTTCTGCTGCCACCATGTGGCCTGGAGTCTTAGTCCTGGAACCCGCATACCTGGGTTTTGCTTCTGGAAGCTCGTGGCCACTGGGGTTTCATCTGGTGTGGGCGGAGAGGGTGCACCCGCTCCATCTGAGGTGCCCCAGTGGAATTAGCTCAGTATGAGGTCTGGAGACACCTCCAGTGATCTGCTGTCTTCTGGGATTCATTGCTGTGTCTCTTCCTTTTGTTCTTGTGGTGTATTTAATTGATTTGCCTCCATCGAACCATCCTTGCATTCCTAGGATAAATCCCATTTGGTCATGCTGTATCAGCGTTCAGGGTTGTTAAGATTGTGTTTAGGATCTTTGTATCTGTAGGCATCAGGAATACTCATCTGGGGCTTTCTTTCTTTTGTGATACACCTGTGTACTTCAGCTAGCAGGCTAAGATTTGCCTCATCCAAAGAATTTGGAGAAATTCTCTTTTCTTCTGTTTTTTTTTTAAAGACGAGATTGCTAACTCTCCCATTTTACAGCCAGGGAAACTGGGGCTTGCTTCATCAGGTGTGTATGCAGTCACTCATCCAACAAACAACACGGGCATCCATTGCAAATCCCGGAGGCTCATGAGGCTGATGAGGGACAGGATGGTTCTGTCCACAGAGCCGGGCATATGAACAGTAACAGAAGGTCATTTCTGCTCTGACGAGGAATGGCAGGAGCCTGGAGACTCAGAGGGGGCTGGTCCAATCAGAAAGTGGGGGGGGGGGCAGTGCCAAGTGGGGGAAGGGAAGGTTTGCCAAAGAGAGTCAAGACTAAGGCTTGGAGGGGGAACCACAGTTGGCCCAGTGGAGGTGGAGGGATTGTAGGGCAAAGGTTCGGAGACCCCCAAAGTTCCCTAGAACAGGAAGCACATCACCTCTGGGTCCCCTATAGTGGGACCCAGGGCATCCTCAGTCACTGACTAGGGTTTGCATTTAGTTCTCGCTAGTCTGGTGGCAGCTCAACAGGGGGGAGGTAAAGTGGGGAGTGGAGGGAGTGGAGACAGAATGAGGAGCCTCACCTGGAACCCCCAAGCCCAGCCTCAGCATCAGTATCCCAAGTCCTAGACTGGGAGTGCATTGAGGCTGTAGACAGACCCTTGGGTGTAAGAGGGAGGGGACCCTCCAGGGAGCCACGAGCCGGGGGATGAGCCTGTGTGGCCTCAGACCTGCCCAATCGGGTCCTGTTCAACCTTCATCCCATTCCAGGGCTGAGACCCGGGCTCTCCACCCATCCCTGGGGCATGCAGGTTGGGGACTGACCCTCTGTAATAGCGCCCAGGTACTCCCGGCTGTGCTGTATGACCTGGGCAGGCTGTGAAGCTTGTCTGAGCCTCCCTTTCCCACCGGCCCCTGTAAAGCAGGAGAGGCGAGGCTGGAGACTGGGCAGCAGGGAGGCATGGCAGGGGGACTGGGCCAGGATAGCTGGCAGAGGCAGAGCCCATGGGCTTGTATCGTGGCTGGGCACAGCCCAGGTGGTTAATGCCACAGAAACCCCAGGGTCCTCCTTACCCCCAAGGGGCCCAGAGCAAGGGAACCCATGACTCTGAGCATCACTGGTGCGGTGGACGCCAGAGCAGAGTACCCATGGGACGGCCCAGGGGCTCAGGCCTGATGGGTGCAGGCTTCACCACTACCAGCAATGGAGCCCAGAGCAGCTCTGAGTGAACGTGGCCAGAGTCAGGAGCTAGTCCAGGAGCTTAGACACTTGCCTTGCACAGAGCCAGGAAGGCCACGACCTTGGTTCAAACCCCAGTACCACAAAGAGGCCCCAGTTACAGATCCTGGGTACCACCAGCTGTGCT